AAATGTTTCAGCTCAAATGAAAAAAAATGTGGAATTCTCAAACAAAATTAGATATATTAATAATTTCCCGAGGGGAAAAATCTCAGACTATTAAGAGCCATACCAGCCCAAGTGACATATTGAAACAAATTTGTAGATTTTTACCTAGATGGAAAACATAATATGACATGAATAAAAAGAATTGCAATAAAACTCATGATTCATCATAGGGCGAAGAAGGGTGGGAAATAAGTGTCTCTCTATGGACCTCATCACACTTATCAATTTAAGTGTATAGGACACTTGTCAGCCAGTTGAGGGACAGATGGGCATGTAGCCCATCACACAACATCCCTCAACTTCTGGTGGAGGCCCCACCCCAACGGGCTTTTCTGCCCCAATTTGGCAATGCTTCTCCCATGTAATGAGGGAAGTGCCACTGGGCCAGAACAGTATACAAGGCAATAGAGCCGTGTGTGTGATAAGGTCCTAGGTGTTTTTGAATGATAGATCTAATAAACCCTGGCCATTGGTTTTGCTGGCTGAAGTGGATGGGGGCCACTTCTGAATTCCTGTTTTACCTCATTCCTTAACAATACTATTAGATGACTAAAAACCAGATATGAATTGTTTTTCCTCAAAGCTGAGGAAAAGTTGCTGCTTCCTAGAATCCCTCAGCTTGCATAACTAATGTCCACAGCTGGTTGGTGAATTCTGAAAGTTATAATATGAAACTTAACTTTTCCAAGTTCTCGAAGCTTACCATATTATGTTTATCACCATGAACAGAAGCAGTTGGTGGCTCTCATGTCATATGGGCAATGGGTTTGTTCTGAAGCCTCACCAAACTAAAAATTCAAGAAATCTACAGCATTGAGCCATGGCAGCTAAAGTTGTGTCACACTGTATTGATTCAACAGCGTAGATGCATACCAAGACACACTTCGTGTTCATGATTATCTGTGTCCATATGTCAAAAACTTCACAAAGATTTGATTCAAAGCTACCAGCTCTTCCTTGTTCTTTTCTGGAAACTTGTGAAAAGTTCTTTGTTCCTTAATGCATTTGGATCTGCAAGTGAATCAATATACTGGTCTCTCTGCTGTAAAGCTTACAATGTGAAGCAAAGTTACATAATGGTTAAGTACCAAAACAAAGCTACAAGTGGGGGGATTATGCCATTGTAAAAGCTGCCGTGTGCCTGTTTCAAACTGTAGAGCAACTTGAAACTGTTATTTCATCAGAAGCATTGGTGCCAAATTCTGTAGAGCCATCGAAGCCAACATCTCTCCAGTAAGCTGACTGAATTAACATCAGAATCCCTTTTCCCTACATAATGGCATCAGCTCTGATTAATTGCTAGGGATACATTTGCCAGCTTTGGGAGAAGAACTATGAGGAATTTCCCCAAACCAAGGCTACTGAAGTGCTCAGAGAAACATTCATTTTGTGGGCCATAACTCTCAGAATCCCCAAGACGACATGTCCACAGATCATACCACCTGGTAGATTCTAGGGATTGTAGCCATAAAAAGAAAGTTGTCCCAGCTCTGTGTATAACATGTCTGATATAAAAGGATGAAATGGCCTCTTGTCCACCTATTTTATGAAGAAGAAAAAAAGAAGTACCTTCTAGACTAGAAGTTTTCCCCAAACTGGCAAATGGGGTTCATGAGGTGACATTTGCATGCTATGCCTGGAACTGGATTTTTCTCACAAATGATATCTCTTGAAAAACAAAAGGGCATTCTTATTGGGTTTATTTCTATTTCTTGAGTGTATTCACATTAGAGCTGCCTGTATATAACACAGTTTGAGTTAATAACTGTAAGCAGAGGTCTACAGTTGCTGACTATCTCATTACCCTAGCTCAATTTCACTGTATTACTTCTTCTTTAAAAAGTTAAATATCTTAAGAATGCTTTCATGGATAAACTTATTCCTTGAGAGTTGGGAATATATGTCTATCTTCGTGCTAGTCTTTCATGAGTGATTTTTCCATCAAACATTTTGCTTTAATATCTCATCCTCATATCCCGTTTCTGGTTTATATTTTTTCACGACAGGGTGGAGCTAAAACAGTTTCCTGCTAGACTCAGAGCAGGAAATTGCACCCACAAAGTCAAAGTTCATTATATCAAAATCCAGAAGAAAATGTTTTAACCAATGAGACAGAAAATCCCACAAGAACCACCCATGCCTACCAAGTATAAAAAACAAGAAAATAACTAAAATTGCTGTCATTTTCTGACACCCCAAATCTTCTAACTGATGTGGCCCCCTCACTCTGACAAATGGTAGGATTGAGTCTGAAGCAAAGAAACTGTATTTTTCAGTAGTTTGAAAAATACCTTCTCTTTCAGTATGGTATTTGATGCATTCAATTACAATATGAGTAATGCAAAACTGTTGTAGTGTGGATGCCTCATGGGAAAAGGACCGGATTTTTAAAATCTGTCACTGTGACTTGAGAGCATTACTAAAAATGAAACAGAAACAAACATGAGTAGGTGTGTAGGAAGGACCTGTGTTCAATTTCAACATAAAACATCCCTAAGGCTTTGTTAGCCACCCCGAGTCCCTTTGGGGAGATGGTGGTGGGGTACAAATAAAAGTTTATTATTAATTTATTACAGCATGGGCTAGAAAGCCAGTTTCTTTAACTCAAAGCTTGGAAAATCTTTATAGACTACAATTCCCAGAACTCTCCCCAAAGATTTTCCAACCTTTGTATTAACTGGAGGTTGCTTTTTAAATAATTATGATCACTATGTTGAGTTCCAGGGCCAGAGAAGCAGGTGGCGGAAACAGAAGAACGGCCTGCCTCAGGGGAGCGTGCTTGCCCCATCCATGTTCAACATCTACACAAATGACCAGCCACTGCCAGAAGGGACAGAGAGTTTCATCTACGCTGATGATCGTGCCATTACTGCTCAAGCAGGGAGCTTTGAGATGGTCGAACAGAAGCTCTCTGAAGCTCTAGGTGCTCTTACTGCCTATTACAGGGAAAACCAACTGATCCCCAACCCATCTAAAACACAGACATGTGCCTTTCATCTCAAGAACAGACAAGCATCCCGAGCTCTGAAGATCACCTGGGAAGGAATCCCACTGGAGCATTGCAGCGCACCCAAATATCTGGGAGTCACTCTGGACCGTGCTCTTACCTACAAGAAGCACTGCCTGAACATCAAGCAAAAAGTGGGTGCTAGAAACAATATCATACGAAAGCTGACTGGCACAACCTGGGGATCACAACCAGATACAGTGAAGACATCTGCCCTTGCTGCTGAGTATGCATGCCCAGTGTGGGCCCAGTGTGGAACACATCTCACCACACAAACAGTGGATGTGGCTCTTAATGAGACATGCCGCATTATCACGGGGTGTCTGCGCCCTACACCACTGGAGAAATTACACTGCTTAGCCGGTATTGCACCACCTGACATCCGCCGGGAAGTAGCAGCCAATAGTGAAAGGACCAAGGCAGAGACATCTCCAGCTCCTCCCCTGTTTGGGTATCAGCCAGCACGTCAACGACTTAAATCTAGAAATAGTTTTCTAAGATCTACAGAGACACTCGCTGGAACACCTCAGCAAGCGAGAGTCCAAAAGTGGCAGGCTCAAACCCAGAACCTCAACCAATGGCTGATACCAAATGAGAGACTCCCCCCTGGGCACACAGAAGACTGGGCGACTTGGAAGGCACTGAACAGACTGCGCTCTGGCACCACGAGATCCAGAGCCAACCTTAAGAAATGGGGCTACAAAGTGGAATCCTCGACATGCGAGTGTGGAGAGGAGCAAACCACTGACCACCTGCTGCAATGCACCCTGAGCCCTGCCACATGCACAAGGGAGGACCTTCTTGCAGCAACACCAGAGGCACTCCAAGTGGCCAGATACTGGTCAAAGGACATTTAATCAACTCTCATACTCACAAATTCTGTAATCTGCTTGTTTGCTTTGTTTCTGTTAGAAATGTAATATAATTTGACTGGTTGTTCTGACACGACAAATAAATCACTAGTGAATGTTATTTTTAAAATAATCTAAATCCTTGATTCATAACTCTAAACTGCTAACAAATTATACTTGTGACTATTAGAGAGGCAATTCACTAATATACTACTGTATAGTGAGCTATTGTTGCTTTATGCTATTTGAAAATACAGTCTCTTTCCACTAAATGGCCAATTCTGATATTGAAACTGGCAATTCCGGCAAGGCATTACAATGTCTTCCCAACTTGAGGCAGCTTCCCATGTGATTTTTCTCCCTCCTATCCCATTGCCCAGGCCGAAACATTTCAGACCCAAACCTAATAATAAGACAACTTCCATTTCAGTGAAGTGCAGTGAAGTACAGTCATGATCAAAACAACAACAAAACAGGTGATTGCTACAAAATAGTAACTAATAACTTGTAGGGAAAATGACTTACTACCTTTTGTAGACATATGTGTGAATAATGATAACTAAGATCAGAGGAAGTGAAACTAAATTTTGAAACCCCCCCCCCCTTTTCTTTTTTTTTACTCTGTGCTAATTCCAACAGCTGCTTGGAATACTAAATCATAATTTGTGTGCAAATATGAACAAAGAGTCACTATAAACTACTGTTTAACAGAAAACATTACTAAGGTTTGCTGGGGTGGGGTTACATTTCTTCAAAACATGTGTCTTTATCTACATTTATAAATTGTTTTTCTACCAATAAATGTAATTAAAATAGTATTTTAAATGGCACACAATCATTTCCACTGGCAAAGGGAAATGTACATTCATATGGTACTTTGAACAAATTGATTTGCAAATGTGTGCCTTAATGTACAAGTACACAATTCAAAGCAGATAGCATGACCACTGTATTATTACTGTACCCTGAAAACACTGACTTGTATTTATAACTTTGGGCATGTCTCTGTGGTACTTCATTTGAGCATTGGCAACAGAGAGCCAACATTGATGCAAATGCACACTGCTTAAGTAACACCAAACAACCTTTTTTTTCCCATTCAGGAAGCATCATGCGCATACGTGCTGCTTGTGACGGCGGTGTACTGGGTTTCAGAAGCAGTACCACTTGGGGCTGCAGCTCTCGTTCCTGCTTTTCTCTACCCACTGTTAGGAGTAATGAAGTCCAGCGAGGTCAGATCTATGTTGGGTTTTTTTTAACTTCAGTGTGGGTGGATGTCATAACATTGAATCATTTAGTATAAGATGGCTACCAATGCACTTTGGAAACATACAGTATTGAATTGTTCAGTGGTATATTCTTTTAAGTGTGTCTTGTCCCAAAAATACAGTAGACCCTCCATTTTCATGGGAGTTAGGGGTGCAAGACCCCAATTAATGTGAAAAAACATAAATTACACAGCACTATTTTTATGGGAAAGAACCTCTTGCTCAGAATCTCTATGTCCTCCAGCACAACTCTATCATCAAGTACCGCTAGAGGTTGACCACAGAGTCAAGCTAAAGGATCTAGCGATTCTTAGAGATATGTTCTCTTTATGCATTTTTAAGTAATCCAGCATGACTTCTGGTGGAAATTGTCCACAGACTCATACTGGGGGAAATAAAGATTCCCAATGAGAACATATTAATCAATCCATGAATAACAACATCTGCAAAAGTCAAACCCACAAATGTGGAGGGTTGATTGAGGTCTGAGAGTGCCTTGGACTGCGAGAAGATCCAACCAGTCCATCCTCCAGGAAATAAAGCCCGACTGCTCACTGGAGGGAAGGATACTAGACACAAAGTTGAAGTACTTTGGCCACATCATGAGGAGACAGGAAAGCTTAGAGAAGACAATTATGCTGTGGGAAATGGAAGGAAAAAGGAAGAGGGGCCGACCAAGGGCAAGATGGATGGATGGCATCCTTGAAGTGACTGGACTGACCTTGAGGAGCTGGGGGTGGTAACGGCCGACAGGGAGCTCTGGCGTGGGCTGGTCCATGAGGTCACGAAGAGTCGGAGACGACTGACCGAATGAACAACAACAGGAATGTTCCGTGGCATTACCTTCCAAATCAAGTCTCCAACAACATTGGAGGGGGGGGGGTGAAATTTTAAAAAGACATCTTGTACCTGCAGAAGGTATGGAGCAATTTGATATTTTGGGACTCTTCTCTCCCATTCCCCCCCCCCCAAAAAAAAAGATGGAAACTTTGCATTTCTAGAACTTGGGGAAGTAAACTTTTTCATCATAATTGTATCATCATTGCATATAATGAGACTTGAGCATCCACGGTATCCAGGTGTGGGTAGGTGTTTTCCTGGAAACAAACCCTCGTGGCCCACTATAACAGTCATCACAGCATGACATTCACCCATGTTGATGTGGGAAGTAAGATAGCAGTGTCTACACTCACATGATTTGAGAGTCCATCATATCAGTTTCCATTCCACTGCTGGTAACATAACTTCACATCCAAGTAGACATAATAATTGTTATATGCCTTCAAACCAAGCCTGACATGTGGTGACCCTATCTTAGCATTTTCTGGGCAACATTTATTCAGAAGAGATTTACTGAGACTGTGAGAATGTGATTGGCATTACAATTTATAACTGGTTACATTAATTTCCTACTTTTCAGTTAATAAGCCGAATGTGACAAACATTGGTCTCCTTCTTCCCATTTTTATCCTAACCATAATCCTGTGTAGTAAAGAAAACACAGAGAGCTCTCCATATTCATGGATTATGCATCCATGGATTCAGCCAAGCAATCTGGGGAAAAAAATTAATCACAAAAACAAAGCTTGATTTTGCCATTTGATATAAGTAACACTATTTTACAACACCATTTTATATCATGGGACTTGAGTATCCACAGAATGTAGTATCCAAACATCAGCGGATACTAAGGGTCTAGTCTAACCACTCCAAAATCCCCCTGTGAGTTTCATGGTTTGAGGAAGCTTGAACCTGTCTATTTCATATCCTTGTTCAGCAGCCTGACCTCTCACTACCCTAACTCTGAACAACAGGTCTGCAGTAACTCCTCCCAGATAGAACCGGATGGCATCAGCATATGACAGCCTTGCAGGATCAAAGCTAAAGCACTTTGGCACATTAGAAAACATGACGAAAGTTTCCTTCCCATGCAAACCAAAGCTAACTTGTTCCTATTACCCAGAGCCTGATGCTTTTAAGAACTTTTAAGTCTTTGTTTCTGCTAACAAAAAAAGAAAACGAAAGGGATAAAGTGGGATAATAAAGGCTTTTGTGTTACTAGTTTAGATGGAGCCTTTCTTTCCGTTTAGTGATTTTTTGATTAAAATACCGTTACATATACAAATGCAAGATAGGCACTGTGTAAACAGACAAGAACTGTTGGAAGCAAGCTAACAACAATAGCAACACCGTGAGCAGCCTTTTTGAGATAGTTGCACACTATTAAAATAAATCCACATTTGAGCCATGGATGTTGAACTTGTAGGTACAGAACACCAGGATTAGAAAGGTCAAGATATGCTTAAATAGTGATTCCTCCACAATTGGAACTGTCTAAGCATTGTTAGCAGCCACTGGTAATAAGTTATTCTTAGCATTAACAACATCAGTAAGACATTTAAACCTCCTGAATTCTTAACCAAAAAGTAACAAAGTTCTAGATGTACGAACAAACAAAAATTTCCAAGCAAGATTATATAAGGTCACTGTGTTGTTGTTTTTTCCAGACTGGGCATGGGACGTTCTCAAACAGATATTAATGAAAACACTGAATTCTTTTATGCTGTTTTTCATATCATAGTACTCTGGATCATCTATTATTATTTTAATGCATGTGAAACCAAGTGAAAGATCAAAAGCAGGGAAAAAATGAAAAGAAATCAAAATCATCTAGAGAAAAAGGCATAGGAGGGAGATATTTGCCCCACTTATAGATCTAATCCAGTCAGTGTGGGAAAGTGTTTTTGTTTTTTTATGGGTTGGGAGGACCACATGTACAATCCTGGCTTTCATTTCCCAGAATGCCTTTTTTAAAGAAAATATTAAGTCCCTCTAGTCCTTGCCTGTACCTGGTTGTTTGTTTCCACTATTGTTCTTATTCACAATTCAGGATGTATTCTGTGCAAAATGTGCACAAACCGATTTTATGTAGAAAACACAATTTTCTACTGAGGAAACATCGTTTTTTTTCTGTGCTAAAAATAATATTTTCATACAGGATGCAGAAGTTTCCTGTAAAGACAATGCTGTTTTCTGTGCAAAACAACTACATTCAATTTATTTATTTATTGCAAAATAAGTCCTGCATTGCAAAGATTCTAATTTTGATTTCTTGATTTTTGATTTCATCATGATTTCTCAACATTTGGAAAAGTTGGTGGTTTTGACCAGTTTGTGAAAATTTTCAAATATTCTTTCCATATGTAGGTGGCTGGGGAATACATAAAGAACACCACCTTGCTTCTCATAGGGGTAATTTGTTTAGCCGCCTCAGTTGAAAAATGGAACCTCCACAAACGAATTGCCTTGCGCATGGTGATGATGGCAGGAGCAAAACCTGGCATGTGAGTAAAGACACTGATTAAAAACCAAGACACAGGCATTAAAGGCCCAGAAAACTGATAGAAAGTAGGCTATACATATTACAAGACAGTTGTGAGCTTCTGCCTGTCTTAAGGGAGGTAAGGCATATAATTAATTAGTCTGAAAATAGTCTTCCTTTCTCTCTCTGGATGCTTTTTCTTTTCTCCTTGAGGTCTCATATCTTCATTCTGCTACTTGGGACTTTGATTCTGTTCTCAGACCAAATTCTTTTCTCTTCCATGTCCAGGGGCAGCCCAAGAGATTTTGAAGTTAAGCAGAAATGTTGAACTTTCCTTTACTTTTCCAGTTAAAATAGTTAGTGGGAATAACTCAAGACATTTTGAGGATTACAGTAGAAGATAATCACATGAAAATCTCTCAGTCTCAGTTTCACCTCGTATGTATCTTCAATTTTACCTGGGTTTTCATCTGGTGCTAGGGCCCTTCCACACGGCCCTATATCTCAGAATATCAAGGCAGAAAATCCCACATTATCTGAGTGTGGACTCAGATAACCCAGTTCAAAGCAGATATTGTGGAATTTTCTGCCTTGATATTCTGGGTTATATGGTTATGTGGAAGGGCCCCTAGAGTCATATCAAATGACAAGAATCTGGCCAAGAGCCCACATGCTGATTGCATAGTGACAGCCAGTGAGTTTTGTATCAGAGGAGGTAGTGAATTCATTCTTGAATGTTATTCCACATTTTAAGGGAGCCAACAAAGAGCTGAGCCTTGCCTACAAAAACAGGGTCAATACCTTGAAGAGATCCTGTAATAAATCCTATGGTCCTACATAGAATCCTACATAGAATCCACTGGACACTACAGTGTATTTTGTAATATATCAGACTGGCAGAATATATAAAGAATGAAGACGCATTTTTAGCAGTGCTTCCCAGAAGGACTTTCTTTCTCTGTATTCCAGGCTCCTTCTTTGCTTTATGTGCTGCACCACTATTCTATCCATGTGGCTTTCCAACACGTCCACTACAGCCATGGTGATGCCCATTGTAGAAGCAGTGTTACAGGAACTTGTGAATGCTGAGGAGGATCGAGAGGCAAATGGTACTGCAGGTGGCACCATCCTGGAAGAGAAAGAGACAATGGGTATGCATCCTCAATAACCTTGGCTGGATCAGACCAAAGGTTCATCTAACAGTGGACTTTTCATTTCTTGATTCCTTTCCAATCTATTCGTATACATTCTCTCCTATTAATATTTTTAGCTGAGGGTGATAAGATATATTTGGGAAGTGATGGTGATAGTGATGATGATTATGATGATGGTTGCTGTTATCCTACACATTTCCCCCTTTTGCAATGTATGAAGAATTTCTTCATTGATGGTACATGAAAATATAAAAATTATTCTGTTCAACATTTAAGAGATTATAAACTGAATTTAATAATCTCATAATTTTTGAGATTTACGTTTACAGTCATTAATGAAAGAATATGACCTCTAACTCTACCTCTCAAACCAGCAGTACACCTAGAAAAGGGGTTCAGAGATGATGCAGAATAGGGCTTTGAAAATGATGGCTGCAGCATTCTCTCAGTTGTGGGGTATATTGAAAGAGGTTGTTGCTTCTGCCAATATGTCCTGTGACCAGGGAAATATTACATCAGCACCCTAGAAGCCTTCAATTGGGATACTGCCTTGCTAAATAAGTAGTTTTTTTGAAGACGGCATTAGCAGCAGTTTCATACATCTATTGATGCAGGATCTTGACCATTGACTTCACACCCAAAATCTAGGTTCAACAAAATCTAGACTCGTTTAGAATGGACAGATTGATGGACAGACAGAGAGATAGGTGATAGATAGATTCCATGTACATGCACATAAAACCATATTTAAATATCTATGTTTTTGCTATGCACAAGCAATATATAGAATTGCATAATTTAGGTTTACATTAGTAGAGCTTGAAATCCACATTAGGGCCAAACTTTTGTTAGAACCGAACTAAAACAGTATCTTGCATTATTACCTACTTATAATCTGAAATAAATTTTGAGAGATATATATTTCCCCAACCTCCTTTTCTTTTGCTTACAGGTTTCAATGACAATCATGGGCAAGCATCACTGGAACTCATTTTCATCAACGAGGAGTAAGAATGAAGCCTGTCCAGCTCTAATGGACATTTGAACCCTTTCAGGTCACAATGAGATCAAATTTGAAAGCAGGAAGAGTGAATGACAGATTGCAAAGGTCACCTTAGATAGGTTCAAGGGAGGAGATATTAGGAAAAGGAACAAGAAGAAAGATTTGTTAGAAGTTCATTGCTATTCTCTTCCTTGCTGGGTTATAAAAAACCCAGAAGGATGAATGGCATTTTGCAACATTCAGAGTGAACATTTAATCGCTTAAACAGGACAGGCATGAAGTAGGGTTGGAACTGAATAGGAGTCTTTTGCTTGGAATGATAGTTAAACCAGACATAAGCAGCCTACAGAATGATCAGGGAAAGATATCTTTTCCCATGTTCTATTTGCCTGCTCTGGAAGACTGCTTTTATTTCAGGCTCAGAAAATATGTTTAAAACAAAATAATTGGTTTCTTCACCCCACCCCACATCATCAATATTATTATTGAATTTAACCTTTCCCTTTCCAGAGGAAATCCTGATGAAAATCGCTCCTCCCCTTCTGTTTTTAATAGAGTGCTGTATAAATTGTATGCTTTAATAATTGTACTAAGTTTAAACTGCATTTTATTACTTTTGATGGTATGTATTAATTTTTAACATCATAGTTAAGAATGTTAACTTTTTAGTGTTATTAACTGATGTTGCATTTGTTTTCATTTGTAAACCACATTGAGACCCAAAGTAGGATATTACTCATATCAAAAAAAGAAAAATAATGTTTGGAGAAGTTGAGGGCACTAGAAAAAAAGAAGATTGCATTATAGATTAATTGACCCAATAAAGGAAGCCACCAGCCTAAAGTTGCAAAACAAGAACAGGAGTATTATCGACCAGAACTCTTGAGAGGAGAGGAGACATGATGGAGGCCATGTATAAATATGTGAGGGGAAGTCATAGGGAGGAGAGAGCAAGCTTGCTTTCCACTACCCTGGACTCAGAACAATGGCTTCAAACTACAGGAAAGGAGATTCCACCTGAAGATGAGAAAAAACTTCCCGACTGTGAGAGCTGTTCAGCAGAGGAACTCTCTGCCCCAGAGTGTGGTGGAGGCTCCTTCTTTGGGGGCTTTTAAGCAGAGACTGGATGGCCATTGGTCAGGACTGCTTGGAATGTGATTTTCCTTCTTCTTAGCAAGGGGTTGGACTGGATGGCCCATGAGTCCAACTCTATGATTCAATGATTCTATGATTCTTGAAGCTCTCTCACTTATAAGATCAATGGAAATTGAAGCCAATTGACAGCACAGAACAACAGTACATACCATTAATAATAACAAGATCCCTCTTTCTTTCTTTCCTCTTTTAGTGCTACAACTGCTGACCTCAGTTCTCTGATGCATTCCAAGGTATTTTCATAGGATGAACTATAAATGATCATATTTGTTACAGGAAGCAAAACAGAAATGCTTAATATTGATTACTTGGCTTTCTCCCTTCTTCTAATAAAGCTTGCTCTAACCTGATGACCTCCATTAGGCAGGACATACATCTGCATGATCACCATGGTTGACAATGTAGTTAAATGCATCTAGACGATAGCCAGGCTAGGAATGGCTATTCTGGTGAATCTAGACTTTCAGATGAGTTCAATAGTCCACTGTAATGCAGCTATAGAAAGTTGGAAACATCAAAAGAGATCAGGGAAAGTTCCTCTCATTTTGGTCTTGGAATACATTGCCTTTCACTTCACATGTTCATGTCCCTAACTTGATATTTCAGTAATTGCTAACTTACAGGGGAATTTTCTCACTGGGGGAAAATGTTTGGCAATTTTTTGTCAAAGAAACCATTTGTGCTTTACTAAATGTCATCGCTCAGAAGATATGGGTTATAGTAAGAAGGACAAACAAAAAGTGAAAACTCTTGCACTGCATTTCATTGTTTAGTGTTATCTTAATTTAGTTCTCGGGCAGAATAGACAGTGACTGTAACAGTTACTATATTCTTGACCTTGCATGAAAACTTCCCTTTGGAGTTTCAACTTTGGCACTCCATGGGTCCTTTTGATTGTTCCTGAAAGTTATGCTTTCTAATGAATTGACATTTTTCTTCAATAGAATATGAATGGTGTGCACATGATAGCCAACAAAATTGGGACTGTGACCTCCAAAGCCAATGGACAACATCGGACCCAGGTGATACAGACAACCAATTGTCCCAGGTTCACCATTCTTTCTTTATCACTGTAAATCCTCAACTTTGATGGAAATTAGGGATGTGGGACCCTTGAAAAAGTGGGGAAAATGTGAAAACCCTCTTTTTAAAACCTTAAAAAACACCTCCCTAGGAATATCAAGGTCCTCCATGGAAGCTCCATGGTCATCTTCTAGTGGAAGTTTACCATAAAGTTGCCCTGGGGAATCTAGAGAATCCTACACATGAGTCAAACTCACAAATAATCAAAATCACAAAAGTTAAACCCGCTGTACTTTGTGATACATTGTTCATCTGAACCTCAGAGTCCTGGATAATAGGATTGTCCAGGAGAGTTACCTATTTTCTCACAGTATTCATGATACAAAGGGACCTTCCCTTGACATAAACAAAATGTTCTAGGTCTTTTTTTTTTGTTCCAGTGAAGTCTACCTAGTGATAACAGGATAGCCAATAATAATAATATTACAATAAACTTTTATTTGTATACCACTCTATCTCCCCGAGGAGACTCAGGGTGGTTTCCAGCACAGCAAAAACATTCATTTACTACACAAAAACATACAGAATAACCATTATAAAACAAAGACATAGTATTGCAAAACTGTTTTACATATTTTAAGTTAAAAGCCAGTTCCAGTACTAATTTCCATCGGGCAAAAATTCAGCTACCAGCGGCTGGAATTTCCGAGTGGGCCTAAACAACTCTGAGAGGGCTGGGCTAGTGTAACAAAGTAAACTAGGGCCAGGGGAGTGGGTGAAATGCAAAACAGGGTCCTGTCTGATGGTCAGTGTGGGACCTTGGGCTATTTATTGCCAAGACCTATTGAATAGCTATAGAAGGGCTGGGCCAATGGGGAAAGTGGGTAAAGTGCAAGGCAGAGCCCTAACTAATGGCCAGTGTAGGGCCTGGACCAACACCATTGCTCCTAATTAGTGGCTGACTAGACTTGAATTCACATTTTTTTTATTCCCCACAAAGTCTTAGAATGACACTCAATGTATCACCCAGACCCAGTGACCTGGGTTTGTTGGGAACAGTGAAAAGCAATATGTTTAACCACAGCCCAATGGGAGGCATCAGTGGTGTCTCCTGCAGGGGATCTGGTGATGCCCATTTGAGAGATGGTCAACTAAGACTGAGTGAGAGAGCATTTCCCCAAAATCTATGTCCCACGGCAGCTACATTTGAAAGGAATGGCACAAGTGAATTTGGTTTTGGAACAGTTTCTTGATACAGAAAATGTGGTGAATTGTCTGCTAAATTTTGCCTGAGACTTTCTATTCATGTGACTTGAGGATTATAAGTTCCTGACAAAACCTGTCTGAACCGAATCTTTCCTCAGACCTTGCGTGCAGAATCAGAAGCCCGATTACTGTTGATCCTTCATTTCTGTCACTGACTAAACAGTTTTCAGGGAACTGGAGAGGGCTCCTATTTGTTCCCAGGGAAAATAAGCTGCCTTCAGAATGCAGACATCTTGGCACATGGAAAGTTTCTATTTCTGAACAGGCTAAACTTTTCTAAATTTTATCAGGTGTTCTGGCATGGTTACCTAAAGTTCACCATCTACCTAGTTTGACATCTAATGGCACAGAAGAAAACCTAATTCTATTAAATATGCTTTAGGCCATTCCAGAAGCCAGAGTATGGAAATGTCACTTTTTGAGACTACATCTCTCAAAATCTTCAGCCAGCAGAAAGAAAAAGAAAAGAGGAGGGAGGGAGCAATGTTGCCAATATGTTTGAACATATAATTGCCAGTTGGCTGTTCTCATCTCTAAATATCACTAACACTCAATTTCTAAGGAGGCACAGAACTAAAAAAAATGAGCAGGGGGAATTTTGTTGTTGGGTGTGTTCAAGTTGTTGTGAGTTTTCTGGGCTGTATGGCCATGTTCCGTAAATACGGTGAGCATGTGTTGTTTTGAAAGTCCTTTTGGCTGTGATAAATTGTGGGATAGTATCTGTGTCTTTGCAGCATAGAAGAAAAGTCAGAAAGCATAGTAGATGTGCTTTCCTGGTCTTTGGTTTTGCCAATTTCCGTGTGTCTTGGAACAGTTTCTCCCTGTAGAGATGTTCAATGTACTGTTGGAGACTTTCATGCCCGGAGTCACTGGGTTGTGAGTTTTCCAAACTGTATGGCCATGAAAACAGTGATTCCGGCCATGAAAGCCTTCGACAATAGTGTCACCCATGGCAGCCCTAAGATGAACTTGGAAGGTTTGTTTAGAAGAGATATGTCACTGCCTTCCTCTGGGGCTGAAAGAGTATGGTTTGCCCAAGGTCATCCAATGGGTTTTGTGGGCAAGTGGGGATTCAAGCCCTGGTCTCTGGAGTGATAGTCTAATACTCAAACCACTAAACATGTATAAGGAAATGTCTGTTTGACAAGAAATTAAGACTTTGCCCATCTCAAGGATATGAAAACCTATGTACCAAAAGGGCTGGAAAGGTATAGTGCACATAGTCTCTGTTATGTTAGGGGTTGGGATGCTGTGAGGAAATGAAGGCTTAAAAAATAAGAGAAGGGAGACTTCTCATTGGAATGCTTGCCACAAATTCCAAAATTCAGTTGTGTCCCTTCACATATGCAGCCCTCTATTGCATAAAGGTTTATACATTTTAAAACCTTATGCAAGGAGACAACTGAATCTTTGTTATTTAAGGATCTTTCCCAGCTGGGGGTTGCTCCCACCCATGAGCCAAGGTGGGCTCCTTGGGTTATCCTAAGAAGCTCCTAACTAGTTGTTAGAACCATTCACCACATGGCTGACCAGATACCTCTTCACTCTCTGCATTCGTTGTCTAGTGTGATATTGGACTTTCCTCTCTGTTTACCTTAAATAAAATTTTGGTTGGAGACCCCTCATTTTAGACAGGAAAAGGTACTCGTCTCTCCAGAAGAGCTAGTTTTAATGATTTACAATATCCACTAGATTAAAGTCTGGCTATATGGGTCAGTGGTATGCTAAAAAGAACAGTCTTACATGAATCTGCTCAGATGTAATTCCCATTGATTTTGAGGGGGCTTATTCCCAGCCACGCAATTACAGGATTGTAGTTTATATTACAGCACAAATATAGGGGCACAACAATAAGACAGAAGGTGATATGATATACTATAGAAACCATCAAGAATTATGGTTTTGAAAAGTTGAGATCATGTACCAAGGTGTATATTATTATTTTGAACATATACTGTCTCTGTGAAGTAAGAATAAATTATTTTCTCCACAAACACAACTGGAATATAATCTTCTTTTGTTTACCTGTAACATGTTGATTTAGCGTAGAAAGCCACCATCAATCACCATTTGTAGCAATCAATGAATAAGGTGGTATTACAGATCAATTTCTAATTTCCTCATGGGAAGCAAAACACCTTTTTGTTTTGGCTGATACTCAGTTAACTCAAATATAGCAGCATTGTTAAAATGTCATAAAAGGTGTTCTTTATTATTTTGGAGTTGTGCATCACTACACACTGGGTGTTGGTCTTTAAAGATTGTGACATCCCTTCTGCCATTCTGTGTTCTTTGCCCATATCAATGAAGGAATGAGTTCAACCTACATGATGTGGTTTCTTTACAGGCACAGATACTTGTCCTGCCACCTCAAACTCAGAATTTGGATCTAAGCAGTAAACACCAGTATCCATCCAAGCATGATCATATGGTCTGCAAGTGCCTGTCACTGAGCATCTCCTATGCAGCAACCATTGGAGGACTCACAACCATCATAGGGACTTCCACGAACCTCATTTTCCTGGAGTATTTCAACAAGTAAGTAATAATGCACAATATATAGTTTTGGCTTATTCACTGCAGCCAAATTCAAGTACCTTTTAATTCAAATTCATTTTGTTACAGCATTCGCTGGGGTTAGTGAAAAACCATGCATAAAGAAATTACTTTTTAACCTGAGATAACACCTCTCTAGGAATTTCTAGGCCCTCCTGAATGACTCCATGGTCAACTTCCACTTGAAGTAACTGGAAAAAGTTAACCATAGAGACCCTGGAAGACTCTGGATTTCTAGAGAAAACATTTTAATCAAACTCTTTCAAAAGTCGAACCCACAAATGTAGTAGGCCAACCATACTCTCTAATAACACATTGACCAAAGCCATACTTGGGAGAGAGTTATAGCTCAATGGAAGAGCACCTTGTTTGGCTGAAGGTTCTAGATTGACTCCACAACATCTTCAAGTACTGAATAAAACCCTGGAGAACCACTGTTAGTACATGTTGATCGTACAAGGATACATGGATCAATGTTTTCACCTAGAATAAGACAACTTTTTCTCCTAAAGCTGAATTCACCTTGGCAAGGATAGCCAGTAGATCCACTACTCCAGATGTAGGGAATCCATTGTTTAGTGTTACAGCTTCTCATCCCAGAGTGGCTCCAGATAAGAACCTTGGTGCTGCCATAGAAGGAGGGGGCAAAATGAGGGTGTTGCCCATCCGAATAAGAATTCTTTCCCTAATTATATTTTATGTCAGTTACCAAATTGCTAGAATTGCAGTAGCTTATAACTTCACTTGAGTATTTAGAAGTGGAGTTTAAGCATTCATGAATCCCTCCGGGATCTAGAAATAAAGTTTTATTTTTGCTTTTATTCATGGAAAAAAGAGATAGGCCAAGTTGCCAAAGGAATGCAAACATAGGAAACATAAAAGGTTCTACAGCCTCATCACATCTACCTTGGGAAGGGTCCTAAAATGCTTTCACTATAGCTGGAGGACTGATGGGCTTGCTGCTTCAATTTGTTCACTATCAACTTGTCTATTACTGATAGTAGACAGTGGTTTAGTACAGAAGGAGCTTCCTTGCAGTTAGATGAAAAGGAGAAATTATTATTTTGACTTCAGCCTAAATGCTCCACATATTTCTGATATATTGTGGTGAAACCCCCTTAGTACAATACTTAAGAGAACATAGTACTGCTTCCACATTATTGATAGTTGAGATTGAGAAATAATGATTTGCTGAAAGCTAACCAAAGAGTTCCTTTACTAAATGGGGATTTAAATTGTCTGATTTCTCTCACAGCTCATAACAGTATGCTAGGCAGAGCAGCTTTCTTTTCCAGTTTTGTGTACATTCTTCCCTAATTCTTTATCGCTACAGGCTCCAGAATGGGCTGGGAATGGGAGGGAGGGATCTTTTTGTGTCCTGAATAGCTCCATCTGTTCGGGTGATTTGTTCCCCCTGCAAAGTAATAATCTTCCAAGTGCAACATCATTATGCCTTTTAATGTAGCAAATTATGTTAACAATAGATGGGAAATTAATGAAACTAGAGGCATGCCCAAGCTACTTCAAAAGAAAAATGGTCTGATCTTATGAATGTTCGCATACCAATGTACTTTTCAGAATGAAGAAAGAAAAAGAGGAAATGAGAAGGAGAACAAAATTGAAAGACAATGCTTAGAATCTTTGTCCAAGAGCTTTCGAGCTCTACTAAACAGAACAGAAGCATTATCTTGAACTTGTGTTCATGCAAGCCAGGGCTCAAATTTTCTGGAAGACTACCTCACACTTTATACATTCTCCATTCATCACCATGTCAATAGTGTGGGTTTCCAGGCTGGTCCTACAGTTCCAAAACTTGGGCTCATATAATTCATCTGTCCCTTTCCCCATCTTAATCATCTCCAGAATTGGGTACTTGTGCCTCAGGGTAAACCCCACCACCATCATGTGGGCCTATGGTTTCATGGGCTCATTGTGGTAAGCATGACCTGATTCCTTATCAGGCTTAATAGATACAGCCAGAGACAGTAAAACAAACAAAGAAGTGGACATTTATTAGGACCCCAAAAGTAACATTAACCCCAATAATTCTATTCATTTACAGCTTGCAAAAAACAGTTCTCCCTTCTTACTATCCTGTCTGTCTCTTCTCCATCTCTCTCAAAACCTTTCATTTGTGAAATTCAACCCTATCTGACATCTGACAAAGACAAGCTTCTGTTTTGCAACTCTTCACATCATTTACCAGGTGCCTTCAGCCAAGTGTGCCCAAATCCTCCTTCACAGTGATGAATTCACTTTAGGTTTTAAGCAGCTATTCGGGATTCTAATATTAGTTTGTATGTATAGCTGAGCACTTTGGATAGTTTGGCAAGTATAGTAATTTGGTTAATGTATTGCAATGCTTTGTAATGTTTTAGGTACATCAAGAAGCTAAACTTCATTGCTCTTAATTGAGACTCATTGAGACCCCAGTAGAGCAACCACTTCAGAAAGACATGCATGTGAAGGAAGTGCTAGGCTGACTTGACTTCATGGCAGCCAGTTGTGGACAGGAGAAGCTGTAAAAGGGGCTATAGGGAAACAGAATCTTGGATTGAGCCATAAGAGCAAAAAACTCCTCAGTGATGCTTGAGAAAGCAGCAAATGAAGTAGTTTTAATATGATATAATATTTAATATAATATTTTGAATTTCTTTGTAGTCATTATCCCAATGCTGATGTGGTGAATTTTGGAACCTGGTTCTTATTCAGCTTACCCATCTCCCTCATTATGTTGGTGTTGACCTGGTTCTGGATGCATTGGCTTTTTCTAGGTTGCAAGTAAGTAAAGTCTGAAAGATCTTTGCAAAAGTCTCTTGTTTAGAGTAGAGCATCACCTCCCTAAAAATTAGAATTTTGCCTTTAATGCCAATCATGCTTGAAACGTCTGTATTGAGAAATGGTTTGCACCTCCTGGACAACACTGATTTCTGACTGGAGTTGGTATGCAACATGAACATTTCCAGTAAAGACTGCTTTGGTTAGATTACACCTGGAATATTGTGTCCAATTCTGGGCACCACAATTCAAGAGAGATATTGACAAGCTGGAATGTGTCCAAAGGAGGGCGACTAAAATGATCAAGGGTCTGGAGAACAAGCCCTATGAGGAGTGGCTTAAGGAGCTGGGCAAGAGAAGGCTGAGAGGAGATATGATAGCCATGTATAAATATGTGAGAGGAAGCCACAGGGAGGAGGGAGCAAGCTTGTTTTCTGCTTCTCTGGAGACTAGGAAGCGAAACAATGGCTTCAAACTACAAGAAAGGAGATTCCATCTGAACATGAGGAAGAACTTCCTGGCTGTGAGAGCCGTTCAGCAGTGGAACTCTCTGCACCAAAGTGTGGTGGAGGCTCCTTCTTTGGAAGCTTTTAAGCAGAGGCTGGATGGCCATCTGTCAGAGGTGATTTGAATGCAATATTCCTGCTTCTTGGCAGGGGATTGGACTCGATGGCCCATGAGGTCTCTTCCAACTCTTTGATTCTATAATTCTATGATTCTATGACTGGGGAAAAATGAAAATTGCATCAATTTGCCATGGAGGACAACTAGGACACGTAGTTCCATCTTGGCACCCCAGTTCCATCCTTTTTCGAGAGCAAAAAACCAATGCTAATTTTGCACAGGACAGGTCCCTAACTGAATATTCCAAACAGTCCAGAATTCTTCTCATAATGGGTTCTTTATGCTTAAAAGGCTTCTAAAAACAAATATTTTGGAATCTCCTTTTCATCTCTGCTTTTCATCTATTATTTTAGTGAGTTTCTTTTAATGGTGCTCTTCTGTTTCATATGGTACGTTTTGATCTGTTTGGAATGAAGAAATTGTTGTTGTGCAAGTACAGAAATAGCTAGATGAAGGCAATGACCTCTAGTTGACATTGACTACATCTGGCTTGGAACATAAAACAATTCAGTTGCCTGAGTTATTCCATTTGTAATAGAAATGGGCTCTAATAAATAATGTATAATCCCACAACAAGTCTTGACATGATTCATATTTTTTTTCACAAAGAACATTGACATTCCAGGTTGTAGTTCCAAGAGTTCCCCCAAACAAGGTACTCTTTTTAAATATATATATATATATATATAACCATAACAGAATTAAAGTTTTTATGAAGCATTAGCCGATTCTGAGACTCATTAATCTCTGACTCCTGTTTCCTGAAGTTCATTCAAGGATATATTGCATTTGGCTGTGAGTCCTGCAATAACTCGAGAACAAGAGATACAAAGAGCAGCTCAGATCCATTTTGTCTAACATGACTGAAGGAAAAATGACAAGTCAAAGTAGAAATTAGGGCAAGAAAGCATGCAGGGCAGGGTTGAAATGGAAATGTGATCCTTATTTTGGGAGAGCACTGTGGACCAGTAAGCTTCTCCCTCCCCTATTGATGTAACATTGCCAATAAAACATATAGAGTGGGGTGGGAGGGGGCCGTGACCCTGTAATTCCTACGAGACCTAACCAACATATTTAATGATAAAAGGTTATGGAGGAGCCCCCAGTGGCGCAGTGGGTTAAACACCTGTGCTGGCAGGACTGAAGACCGACCGGTCGCAGGTTCGAATCCGGGGAGAGGCGGATGAGCTCCCTCTATCAGCTCCAGCTCCTCATGTGGGGACATGAGAGAAGCCTCCCACAAGGATGATAAAACATCAAATCGTCTGGGCGTCCCCTGGGCAACGTCCTTTCAGATGGTCAATTCTCTCACACCAGAAGTGACTTGCAGTTTCTCAAGTCGCTCCTTACATGACAAAAAAAATGGAGTTGCCACTCAAAAATATCTGGAGGGCCATTGTTCAGTTGGTCTTGAACTATCAAAGACTTTATTTTCATTGTCCTCTGAATTCAAGGAGTAAAACAGACCTGTTAAGGCATCTTTGAGCCTCTTTAGAAATGAGAAATTTGGAAAAGAAGAAGAAGAATTTCAGGAAAAAATATAGGATTGTATCCTCAACAGATTATAGGTATTTTTACTGTTCTGAATATAGAGATTATCTGGTTAAAAAAATCTTCAATTCCATAATTCAGTTACCTCTCTTTTCATATTTTATATTCTTCTCAGTTTTAAAGAGACTTGTTCAATCAGCAAAAAGAAGAAGACCAAACGAGAAGAGCTGTCTGAGAAAAGAATCCAAGAGGAATATGAGAAACTGGGAAATATTAGGTAAAAGAATCTTTCAGGTTTGACAATGGACAAAAAAAATACAACAGGCAGTAAGACAAAAAAAAACCATCAAAGAACTCAACATTGCCTTGTGAACAGAATTAAGCAATGTAGGGAGTATTAAATACTTAATGCGATGTAGGGAGTATTAAATACTTTATTTTCAAAATCTCATTTCCAGTTATCCTGAGATGGTGACAGCATTCTTTTTCATCTTGATGACCTTGCTCTGGTTTACAAGAGAACCTGGATTTGTACCAGGCTGGTCATCTTTCTTTGAAAAGTAAGTTTATATTACACAACATGGTAAAATTCAAAGATCTGAAGGAAGTCTTGTAGGATCTCAAGGGGGTAGGAGGGGGGCAGTGGTAGCTAGTGCCTTCCATGTCAGTGGATGAAACTACTCATGGAGTGGAAAGAATATCTGAAAAATAGATGTGAACCACAAAAGAGAGTGCTGGCAAATCCCAAAAATGAGAATTCCTCCACAAGAACCATCTCAACTGGGGACCTTTCTAAGTAAGAAAACCTTTTTTTTAGTTAGTGTCAAATTGCATTAATTTTAGTGTAGATGTACCTTTAATTTGTTTAGTTATAACTAGAAAATGCATTTTCTAGTTAGTTATAACTAGAAAATGCACATGAATGCTTTGAACACACAAAAGTATTTCATAAATATGTTGTAGGTGTCATTGTCATAATCTCTACAACACATGTCATCATGTTGGGGGAAAGCAATATGAAACCTAAAATATGAGTGTATTTTGCAAAAAGATTCTGAGATGAAACCATGTAGATGTGTTGCTTATTGCTCCTATCTGCTGTAAGAGCCAATATCTCCTACCTATTATTTATTAATTATTAATTATATCTCCTACCTAGGAAAGGCTACCGGACCGATGCTACCGTCTCTGTTTTCCTTGGCTTTCTCCTCTTCTTGATTCCGGCAAGAAAGCCAAGCTTTGGAAAGAAAGCCAAAGGTAGGAGTAATTCATCTACTTAGTTATTAATGCTACATATATTAATATCTGGAAAGAAGCATAGTACAAAGTAGGCATATATGCTTGTGTTAGTAAAATGTTTTATTTTGTAGTGCTTTTTGTAAGAGCTTAGGGTCTTATTATGCTTTAGAAAGTAACATATTCTTAATACATCTGTGGTTATTAAGTTATCACCAAAGCTTTTCTTAATAATCTTATTATATTAACTTTGGTCTCCAGCCTCACAAGCATCAAAACATTCATATTGCCTAGCAATATTGAAATCGTGGTGCACTTGATGTTAAGTTTTGTTTTGCTACTTTTCAGTCCGATTTGATTTGATTATATTACATAAGACGCAATGATCTGCAATGTGAGCCAGCAACTCACATTGTGTACTCAACTGGAGATGTATATTCCTTGGGATTAACAAGTCTTCCATCCCCTTAGAACAGGATTTTCTGAGAGATACATGGTCCAGCCACCCAGGGGAGCAACATCACTATGTTTCCACAACAACCTGTTTTAAAGACCATTACTGGGCATGTTTCAGGTTTTTAAGTTTTTAAAAAACACTCATTTTGAGGATGCCACAGTTCTCTGAGCTGCAGTAAGAAGGGTGGGTGACTCCCAGATTTAGGATAGTTTCCCATTCATCCTGGTTCAATATGTGCTTTGCTTTGTTACAGGAGATGTTGCTGATTCTGGAGACATTAACCCAGGGGAGCCAATCATCACCTGGAAAGACTTTGAGAAGACAATGCCATGGGAGATTGTAGTTCTGGTGGGAGGTGGTTATGCTTTAGCAGCTGGATGCAAGGTAACAGAATTATCCCCGAATCTGGGACAATCCTCCATAGTGAAATGGAAGCCACACATTGAAATGTCTATCTTACAGACAAGAAATGTCTGTCTATAAAATAGGAGTGATCCTCAGAGGTAATATTTTTGGTGCTACATGCCAGAAGACGGTGATGCTGACAAGTCCAATAGCCAAAGAAAAAAATAGGATGGATGCATCTCTTCTGAGACTCTTTCTTCTACCTGCCCCTGCTGTGTTGTCTTCTGCCTTTGCCCCTTTCTCTTCCTTCCCAACATATTGGCAAAGAAGAAACAGATTGTTGTAGGCTAATTCTGATTACTTTCAGCGTGCTTAAAATGAAAGGGTGGTGGGGCAAGGGAGAAAAAGGGAATCATGTAGTACCTTTGAGATCAACAGCTTTTTTTTTAGACCTCAATTCCCCCCTCCAGGTTCATTGTGAACCTCAACTCACTACTTCAGATCCATTGAGAAGATTAATATCACAAAAAGGCCTGCTCAATCAATCATGTGCAGTTCTTCCCCTGCTTTAGCTTTAATGCTAATAGCAAATATGTGAATCACTTTTATGCTGATCTTTTCAGTCTGTTAACTTTCTTTTTAGGTTTTGCAAAATAATTGTTTTAAAGTCTTTAAAATTATTGTACACCAATTGAACCCAATTGTGTGAGAAAGGCAGGTTGTAAACCAAATACAGAAATAAATAATATTCACTGGCATCCTGTCTGTCACATATTTGTGCATAATTTTCCCTTACACTTGCATAAGTTTTCCTTACACCTGTCTTTTTGGGGGTACTGTTAAAATTGGTGTTCCCTCCTTCCCTCCACAGAACTCACAGCATTTACTCTACAACCTCTGAAGTCCCCCATATAGCCAATCCATTGTTCATGTCAAAAGAATAGAATTGGAGAAGTGTATGGTTATGGCCCTATAACCAGATGTGAAATGATTACTGCAGGTCTAAGCCTTCTGGAGAATTTTAGCACTGCCATAGTTATTTTGCATTTGGAAATACAACCAGCTTTAGAAAACATTAATGTCAAATGTATGTTCATAGAGGTGCATAGAGGCCAGGTCACCCCAAATGTCCATCTAGCCTCACCTCCCAGAGCAAATATAGATTCGCTTTTGATTCTACAGGACTGCATTTGCCTCTCTGTGAACATATAATTTTCCTGGAGCCTAACTGATAATGTACTTACAAGTTATAACCTTTCAAAGCTGGTCACCATCACTATACACCAACCCAACTCAGACTTTGTGGATACATCCCATTGTATCATACCTGGAAAGGATGTTCTAGGGGAAAGGATGTCCTGACTTCTTCTCACTAATGTCTTCCTTCCTTCAGACCTCAGGCCTCTCCACATGGATTGGGCGCCAAATGTTGTCCTTGAGTAGCCTTCCCTCTTGGGCTGTCAGCCTGCTGGCCTGCCTCTTGGTATCTACAGTAACAGAGTTTGTTAGCAACCCAGCCACCATAACAATCTTCTTGCCTATTTTGTGCAGTATGGTAAGTAAGTACGGATTTGATGGTATATAATTATAAACATAACTAAGAGTGATCTTTTGATCAACATTCATACTTTGCACTGTGTAAAACAGACTGTGACCATAATAATAAGATTCATTCACTGTGTAGAACAGGGTTCAGTACTTCCGGTCTTGGTTTTAAGGGTATCGATTAGACACTTGAAAGGTATTCAAGGACAGTAGCCATGTTTAGTCTGGAATATCTGTATGCAAGGGGATCTCAGCTGAGAAAATGAATTTGGTAGCATAGGTTTTTGTAGACTAAGGGTGCATCTGCACTGTAGAATTAATGCAGTTTGATGCCCTTATACTTTCATGGCTCAATGCTGTGTAAGGTCTTTAGTCTTCTCTGCCAGAGAGACAGTGCCTCACCAAACTACAACTCCTCTGATTCCATAGCATTGAGCCATGGAAGTTTAAAGGCATCAAACTGCATTAATTCTAAAGTGCGGGTGCACCCTTAGTCTATGAAAACCTATGCTACCAAATTAATTTTCTAAGTTCAGATCCCTTTGCATACAGTGGTGTCAAACTGCAACAATTTCACAATGTAGAGACAGTCTAAATCTACTCATTCAGATGCATGGAGTGAAGTGCCTAAGAACAAATCTTTAGAGCATACTTTGTGGACCTGATGGGTGACCAGTACAGATTAGAGTCTTTGTTGCTGTACAACCCACTCAATAGTTTTCGGGTTTAGTCTTGGGGTTGGTCTTGGAGCCTCCCTGAAACAGAGAGTGGCACAGGACTTCGTTTTTGCCACCCATGGGTCTTCCTGAAGTGTAGCTTGCCACAGTCATACTTCTGGGAATATTCTCTGGATACTGTTTTCCTCACTGAATGGAACAAGGAACTGTCAGGGAGAAGATTTTATTACTGTCTCTGATCGGGCCTGAAATGACCTGCAAAATATAACTGTGCTAAAGAGGAAGAGTAGTGGTGTACAAGTAGAGGGGGTTCACTGCAGTCCCATGGTGTCTGGATGTTCCCTCACCCCCAATCTGCTAAGGAAGGAATCACAGTTCTGTTATGGAACTTCTTTCTTCAGCTTTTAACACAAATTTCTTTCTCTCTCTTCCCACCTCTCTCTCTAGTCTGAAACCCTGCAAATCAACCCTCTCTACACCCTGATCCCAGTCACTATGTGCATCTCTTTTGCAGTGATGCTACCAGTGGGTAATCCCCCAAACGCCATTGTCTTCAATTATGGACACTGTCGGATTAAAGATATGGTAAGTACTAAGAACAATTTGACAAGAACCCAGATTGAATCCATTAAATGTGAGAATCTCCATCTTAATTCAGTAATATTGGCTTGACATCACAGCTGTTTTAAGCAATGATCTTCCCCTTTTCCAAATTTCACAAAACTGACTTCTGATCTAACTTTAAGAAAATAAAACTGATAATCTTATAAGTTCATTGGACCCATGCCCACCTATAGACTGATACTTACTTACCCTGCTGGAGAACTGCCTTGACTGATGTTACACAGTGTTTTCTTTTTTCTTTTACTTACAGATCAAAGCTGGCTTTGGAGTCAATCTTATTGGTCTAGTAGTTGTGACATTGGCAATCAATACTTGGGGAATTAGACTCTTCCAGCTGAATATGTTTCCTGAATGGGCAATAACTGGCAACAATACTGGGCCATTGTAGGCAGAACTAAACCCGAAAAAACCAAAAATGCATTTGCACATATGTTAAGAAAGTAAGAGAACCGAGTATATATTATTCCAGTAATGAGAAATAACTCCGATCTAAAGGTCTACCAAGGATCATCATCTCTCCACCATTTCATGTTCTCCTGTTCTCCTTGTCTTTCAGGACTGCAATGGAACAAATTTGCTTCAGGTTTTCCCAGTTTTCCTATTACTTATGCAAAAAAAACCCCCCACAATTATTTCACTATAAAATATTTAACTAGGTTTTCTTTTACTTTATACGTAATTCATAGTAGCCATATCTTATATTTAAAAGTTGGTTTTTAATACTACTTCTGTATGTGTGTGAGAGAGGGAGTGTGTGGGCATATGTGTATATATATAGATTAAAATGTATAAAATTGTACATGGTTAGCTACTTAATAAGAAAGAACCACTTGATCAGTTGTATTCTAGGGAAAAAGGACAAGGCCAAAGATATGGGGGGAGGGAGGTCAAGATAAATCTGGTCACCGGTCCAGATATGATCTCATTCCCTATATGACATTTTGTGAGTCATTAGAAATTTCTATTTTAATTCTGGAATTTTATTTTGTGTGCACTAATCATCTTGCATCTGCAGAAATCAAATCTGTGGTTTCACCCATGAAAAAAATTGTCTCAGTGGGTTTTTTTTATTTTTAGATGGACCAGGTAATCCTATGGTGTGCTTGTTCCTGAAGTTATAATAAAGTTGCACTGGAGGAGCAAGAATATTCTGAGGTGTTTTATCTCTAGGAATATCTAGATCCTGATTATGTGGACAGGACACATCTGGGACTTCTGGAGATGGAACAAAACTAGATATTAGCGGCATCCTTCTAGTGATTGTTGTCATTGCTAAATGTCTTAAAGTTGACTTTGATCTATGATGACTTCACGAATGAGACGTCCATGTCAACCTATCATTGCAACCAAAAATCCAACATATGCCTGTGTATGTATTTTGAAAAGTCATTGCAAAGATTTATATTCTTTTATCCTGCACAATAATTGAAGCCCTCCCGCTCACCATTGAGCTCCTACAGCCTCCCATAACCTTCTCATGACTGTTGGATAGCAAAAGTGTTGAAGGGAGAAGCATCTGGCTTTGTTCTTGACCAGCACCCTGACAATATATGAGGATTTGAAAGCAACACTGTACCTTAGATGGGCTTAAGGGTATTCATGAATCCATCACAAATGTGCATTGTAGAATATATGGTTTCTACTTGATAGTGTTCCTGCCATCACAGAAATAGATATCCCCAGGTAAAGATATTGGTGGGAGACACGTTGCATTTTCTGCTTGAAAGATCTCACAGAGGGCACTCTCCAAAAGCAAATTAACAGTTTCATAGAAAACAGAACATGGGTAGCAAATTCCATAATCTCAATGGCCATGCTTCTTAGAGGATTCTTGAAGTTGCAATCTAGAAAGGTAATGTCGCAAAACTCTAACAGAGACAGCATGTATATCTGGACTCTGCATCTACTAAATATTAAGCTTAAGTACATGCCTTTCATATCAGACACTTTATTTTAACAGCTGGCATAGCCTGTAAATACTGGATTTGTACAGGAAAAATAATAAATGCTGTGTTAACTACAGTAATTGTGCTATGATTTACTGTTATCATTTTTTTCTACACAGAAAGAAACAATACATAATCTGTTGCTTGTCAAAATGTCTCAGTTGTAGAAATCACACACTAATAAAGTAAATTATTTATGCCTTTAGTACTTTCCTGGTTGGTAGAAATAACAATGGAAATGTGGAAGAGCTCCCCCTCCCCATGCCTAAAAATAACACATGGTGGGTACAGAAATGGGAAATCAACTCTCCTATGGGGAAATAGTCATCCGTAGCTTCTTAAATGAAATAATGGTTATACTCCGGAGATCCACTCGACATCTTGGGGTGATGATAAAATAGGAGGGGGAGAAGCATAAATAGCATATTGAGCTTCTTGAAGGAAATCTAGGTTGTGTGTGTGCATACTAATGCCATCTTCCCTTTAAAAGGTTCACGTGCCCCTGTTTGGGCACAATCCAAACAAATTGCAAGATTTAAGCAGCCCAATATTTCAGAAATCCAAATATTACAAGAGAGGTCATGGAAACTTCCTAATGAAGAACTGTATATACTGATGTGTGAGGTTATAATCTTTAGTGAAAAGTTGACGTAGGTACTGCACCTTAACTCATATCAAACAAGAACCATCCGTTCTCTGAAAAACCGTTCTCCCAGGGTATGTAAGACATACCTGTTTCGACAGGCTTTTAATGTTTGATATTGCTGTTTTTAAATTGTTTTAAATTGCTTTTAAGTTTTGTTAGATTTTAGCCATTCTTGTAAGCCGCTCCGAGCCCCAGGGGAGCGGCGGCATATAAGTTCAAATAATAAATAAATAAATAATGCCTAGGTGGGAACTCTGGGTACCCAACCATCATTTTTGGGATGGCGGTGCCTTGTTACTTTACATATTTCTACCAAGGAAGATTCAAGATTTATCACTTCTTTGATAATGTGTTATTTTATTGTGCATTACCACAGACCCATGTTACTGCAGCCAGCATTAGGGCCTTACAGCATGACTATTCATATTGCTGCATTTGTTTTACTGTTTCAAATTCGAAGGCCTATCAACAAACCAATAAATACAAGTTCTGCTCTAATTCAGTTTACTGCCTTTTCCTTTATTTTAAAGTGAAAAATACCCTACAGAGTTCTCTATACATATAAAGATATAGAGCTAATGTAAAATATTGCTATGTTGGGTTGTTGTGAGTTTTCTGGGTTGTATGGCCATGTTCCAGAAGCGTTCTCTCCTGACATTTTGTCTACATCTATGGCAGCCACCCTCAGAGATTGTGAGGCCTGTTGGAAACTAGGAAAATGAGAAACTAGGGGTTAAACTCCATTTTCCTAGTTTCCAACAGATCTCACAACCTCTGAGAACACCTGCCATAGAGGCAGGCAAAATGTCAGGAGATAATGTTTCTGGTACATGGCCATACAACCCAGAAAACTCACAAAACCCAGTGATCCTGGCCATGAAAGCCTTCAACAATATATTGCTAGGTTGAATATGCGTTGGACATGTAAAAAAGCTAAAAAAATATTGTATTGTCGAAGGCTTTCATGGCTGGAATCACTAGGTTCTTGTGGGTTTTTTCGGGCTATAGAGCCATGTTCTAGAACATGGCTCTATAGCCCGAAAAAACCCACAAGAACCTAAAAAAATATTATATTCAAATGAAAGTTGAATATCTCCCATTCAAAATGCTTGGTATCAAATGGGGCTTGGATTTTTTTTTTCAGATTTTGCAATATCTTGGAGATAGGACTTAAATTTAATCATGTCTTTATATTTCATATGCATCTCCTACACATAGCCTGAAGGTAATTTTATACGTAATATTTTAAACAATTTGTTGCACAAAGTTCACGTACATTGAACCATGAGAAAGCAAAGGTGTCACTATCTCCTCCACTGATTTTGGAGCATTTTGGATATCTCGGTAGGGAATACCCAACCTGTATATTCCTTATTATATCAGGAAACCAGTCCAGAAATAAGCAAGCAAAAAAGCAAATACATTCCACAGTTGATAGAGAGTAATCCCAATGAATCAATGGGGCTTCCTTAAGTTTTAATAAGTCCCATTTTTCACTGGAACTACTTTAGTTGGGATTAAGATTTAGCTTTATCCTTTTTCTCATTTGGAAAAACCGAGCATATCATAAGGTTGGCTAAACTAGTACTTCTTTCTACGGCACGTTCAGGTTATACTTGAAGTAGGGGAGGCATACAGAACTGTGTGCAATGTGGCACTGAGGGTGTGAATCCAGGGAAAATAGTTATCCAATACCCAAACCCAGCTAATATTCTCACTGAAGTCTTTGTATCACCACAACAAACACATGGCTTTGTAAAATAGCTTCTAATGATAACAAAAACCCACAAACCACTTTCAAATGAGAGTTGCTATTGAAATATAGAGGACTGAACATCTTGAAAGGGACATAAACAATTCAATTTGCCTCAGAAAGAACTGATATACAGAGTGCTAATTTCTTTCGGCTTTGGTTAAATCAGGCTTTGAGGTGGGAAAGTCAACTTCTTGTCAACCCTTCATAAGCCGGCAAAAGCATATAGATAACAAAGCATTCTATTACTCCTTGTAGCATAAACAGTACGAGCAACATTCAGAGATGAAAGAAAATGCACTCTAATAAACTTATGTCTGGAAGACATTTAAGTACAGTGCCTGCAAAACATTAAATATTCTTTAGAAGATGGAATGTGTTGTTGCTAAACTTTGCAAAAACATACTTGCATGCCACCAGACTAGAACAACCCTTTAGCAGATACCAAGGCCCCACACTATTCCTTTGTTTTGGGTCCACCATCAAAGGCATCTAGTGGCTTGGGTGGCAAGGTATTCCCCAGAGAGGAAATATACAACAGCTGCAACTACTTTCAGATGAAGAGTAATTTTCTTTCATTTTCTTTCAACTATTAAAACCATTTGCAACCTTTGTTACATTTTCAACTTCAACTTATGGAGGCCTTATGCATGAGACATTCAAGTCATCCTGTTATTAGCAGGCTTTTTCATAGGTTTCCCTAAATAAGCCTATCCATCTAACATGAACTTTTTTTGTACTGCATTCTACCTTACCAAACATTGCAATGAGTCACCTCTTCTCATGGCATATCGAAAGTACAATAGTTTCAGTTCAGTCATGTTTGATAGGTAAAGGTTTTCCCCTGGCATTAAGTCCAGTCATGTTTGACTTCGGGAGGTGGTGCTAACCAAAGAACCGGCATTGTCCATAAACATCTCCAAGGTCATATGGTCCGCATGACTGCATGGAGTGCCGTTACCTTCCTGCTGAAGTGGTACCTATTGATCTACCCACATTTGCATGTTTTCGAACTGCTAGGTTGACAGAAGCTGAGGCTAACAGAGGGAGCTCACGCCACTCCCCGGATTCGAACCTGCGATCTTTCAATCAGCAAGTTCAGCAGCTCAGCGGTTTAACCCGCTGCATCACCGAGGGCTCTCATGTTGGATACTAGGGGGAATTCAGATTTGATTTGATTGTGGATCCATTTTGTTTTTATGGCAGCCCACAGGAACCACAGAACTCTCCTCCAGCAGCACATTTTCTTGTAACCAGTAAAGCTATATTTTGGATAATCAATGCTTGATTGGGATGAACATACCCCTGAGTCTAGGTTGACTATGGCTTGAATGGATCAGGCTCTCCAGAGTATGACAAAGTCCCACAAGATTTTGAAAGTGTTTAATATGCCATCCTTCTGGGGACAGCAGTATCTACTAGCAGAATGTACTCTATATTCAATTCATTAAAACATTCTGCAAACTTTACACAACCTTTATGACTTGGCCATCATAAAACAGTGCAGCACTTTATGGGAAGTTCACATTAGGTTTAGCAGCCTGGTTTTGCATTAACATTTCACTGTGTCTGTCACAAGTTGAAATATTAGTGCACATGTTGATAATTAAAGGTTTAGTACACTATATATTACATCTCCATTACCTCTGAGATACTTCAACATCAAATCAATTGTTCAGTAAGGAAAAAAAATCCAGAACTGTACTATAAAAAGCTACTTCAAGTAGTTCATAGAACACCTACTGAACAAAATGTCCAAGAGACAGATGGAAAATGAGTAAAAGCAAGACACAAAATCCGACAATACTTCACACACCTCATTTATTCAGTGTTTTATTTTATGTGGGACAGAACAAGTGACTACACAAGGCACAACATATGACAAGTATAAAATCAGAAAATACTCAATTCAGGAAAAAGCCAATTTTAATCAGTGATTAGGTATACTATAAATCAGTTATTAAAAAGGAATGAAAAGCTGTGCTCTTAAGTAAATTTGGAAAGGGATATCTTTGGATGCTTATTCATGATTCATTTCCTTCAGTTGCATTCATGAGCCCTTGTAACAGCACGATTATGTGTTGAATTGGAAAGAGAGATACATTTCATTACTCTATGCCTACAACACATTAACACTGAATGTAAAATACTGAGCACAGACACCAAGAACAAAAATTCAGCTTCTTTCTCAGTTTTGTTTTTCTTATTATTAGGATAGAAAAAAGATCAAATATCCTGGGAGGTCCCATGAGATGAGGCAACACTTTTTGGGGAGGGCAGTTGAGGTTCTCCAAGATTAGACTTGGAAGGAATCCACGAAAACCACTTTAAGGTTTGGCACCTATGGCCCAGTGGCTATCTAGAACATCTACAATTAATAGAGGCAGCTAAGTCATCATCATTTGTCATTTGGAGGTTTCTTTTTAGCTTCCACGTCTCTCTTGATGTCTTCAATTTTTTTCGCAAGATTCGGAACCTATTAAAAAGCAGAAGTGAACATAAGATCTTCTAATAATTCATTTGAAAGAACTGAAATGAGAACATCAGAAACTAAAGAAGTATGCCATCTTACTCACCCCGATTTCACATTTCTAATACATTAAAATCCAATTTTCCATCTGCTTAATTACTTGGATATGTCATTATGTTTCATTTCTTTCATGAATCTATGCCCATTATCCAAGTAAACTGATTCCCTTAAATATCCTACCAACAGATGTGAACAGAACACTAGCAGAATTTACAAAAAAGTGGCCCAAAACATAGGCAGAGAGAAATTGTGGTCACTGAGATGTGGTTAGATTGGGATTCCCATAATCTATCCCTGTATGTTATGTTAGGTAAGGCTAATAGGAGCTGCATTAAAGCAAATTGGGGGTGGGGGGGTTGTTTTTTGTTTTTGCAAGTTGCCCGCTCCTGTTCTAACATACATTCACTGGCAGAGTAACAAAAATAGCTCAGAGCCAGACTTAGCATGTGGAATAAAGTTGGTTGACATCTCTGTTCCTTCTTTCCTACAAAAAGAGCTTCCATCCAATTTAGTTAAGTTTGTATCTTAACTAAATTGAATAAAATTGCCCACGGTCCATAATTTCTGGCCTGAAGGCAATTTAGGATGCCAGAGAAATTCAGTATCTGAGTACTACAGTATGAGCTAAGCTGTTTTGTATCTCCTGAGAATTGAAACCAAACCATCTCCCAACAAAATTTTGAACTTCTCTGAAATTTGTGATAAAGAGCAACAAAATGCTTTATAAATGTGCTTAAAGGTACATTTTCACATAAATTGAAATGAATAATTTCAGATTTAAATGAAAAGAAGATGAAAGAGAAGTACTGGGGAAGGCACAGAAAAGTGCTATGGAGCAGAAATTGATATTTACTCATTCCTTATACAAAGGTATCCTACCAGGCTGTAAACACAAAAACCAGAGCTGAAGTATCTCCTGTAATTATATAGAACAGAGGTGACAATCTGATATTTCTGGACTATATGTTCCATATTATCTGATTACTGGCCATTCTTTTTGGAGTTGATGGGAACTAGAGCCCAAGAACACATGGCCAGCTATAATTTCCCCAACCCTGAATCTGATAAAGCAAACACAACCCCAAGCTTAACAGTAGCAAAACAGCAAAATACTTACATCATAGTTCTGGGCAAGATACATCCCGACTACATTGCCAAGTGCAAACCCAACCTAATGACAAAACAAAAGGGAGAACAATCATACATTTTTCTCCTCACCAGTTTTGAATGCAAATAACATGATTTTTCTATTAGGGCTTCTTAAAAAAAAAAAAAGAAGTTTCAAAACAAACCTGATTCTCATTTAAATAGTTATAATATTTTCAACCAATGTTTTCACCAAGTGGATTCCAGTGTTCTGAATTCTGGCTTACATGTAAGCCCCATAAAGAAACAATTAATTCCTGCAACCACTATTTTCAATTTTAAAATGCACTGGAATTCTTGTAAATTTGTAGCATTTGAAGGCTGTAAGAAACCTCTGAAGTTGTGGATCTTGGTAGATGTTCAATCCTGCCTTTGGCCTTATCCTGAATCAAGCACATGGCCACTAGGAAGTTCTCTAATCCAATCTCATAGTCCAGTCTAAGAAGAGCTCAGACATATTACTATTATTATTTTACTGAAGAAGCTGACTTGACTTGAGACCTTTTGGAGCTGAAGTCTAAAAGAAGAAACGTCTTCAAGCTCTGATTGTAGCCCAATATTTTACAGAAGGATTTCACCAGTTTTGTGCTCTGCTTTCCAACATTAATCTTTTCCATGTGCTTCTTAAATCTCTTTTAACTAAAAAATAAAAGGTCCTCAGATATTATGTTAAAAGAGTGAGTGAAATGTTTCAGCAAGTGGTGAAAATATTTTGTTGCTTTTGGTACATGGCTGCACTTCATGAGGATCTATTCTGCAGCCACAAAAGTAAAGAAGGTTTTACTGACACTGGGGATTATTGGCATATACCCAGTAAATTTACACATGATTTAAAAAGCCACCTCCAGATGTCCATCCATTTTAAAGAGTAGGGATGCTATTTATTACAGGCACAGAGTATTCATCGCTTACTCCCTGTAGAATGTAACAAATGTGATTCTTGGAAGTACAGATGAAAATTAAATTCAATTAGTTTATACCAGAATAAAACTCATTTGCACAATCTCCCTCAGAAGACGTACAATTGCTACATCTCCAATGTTGCCATAGAACCTACAGTCTCGAATCCTCATGCAGTGCAGCCATGAGTCACAAGTATGGAATCATTTTCATATTTATAATACACAATATGTATTTAAACACATATGTGGAACACTCAACAAATAGAACATCATCAGATAATGGAAAACTTGGAAAACAATGTGAGAGTGCAGTGAGCTTTTACAACTGTCATGAAGTGTGGGTGGTCATGATACATTTTAATTTTTTACAATTGTTTAATACAGTGGTTCCCAACTTGTAGCCCGTGGACCACCAGTGGCCCACAAAACTAAAATATGGTCCTCGCCGTTACTACACCTTTGCAACAAGAGCATGGTGTGGTCCGTGGACCATCAGTGGTCGGCAAGAACTAAAATATGGTCCTCACCGTTACTACACCGTTGCAACAAGAGTGACAGGTCTCACAAAACCCTTATAATACCAAGGCTTATTAAATATGGTTTTCTGTGGGTGAGCAGATGGCGACTACAGGATGGCATATGTTCTGTATCAGAAACTAGAGCTGATGTGGTCTATCCAATGCAGTTTTCTGAATCAGCACCCCAAATAACCAAATCGAATCTAAAGTAGACCAAAAATTGATTTGTAACCCTTTTGGTACTAATGTTGGAGAGTGGTCCCTGGTCAAATTGGTCCCTGGTCAAGTGGTCAAATAAAGGTTGGGAACCACTGGTCTAATAGCTTGGAAATATCCAGCTCATTTCTTAAAATCTTGCACCCCTGGAAGAGTGCAGCTAACAAAACCGTTTAGGGATATCTGCTTGGTGTTCCTACATCAGAATGTCAAATTATAAATTGTGGCCCTTTTCCTAATCACCAATTATCTAGAAAGGAATAACACAACAGAATAACAATTAGAGTTCATGTCTCCTGTCATGGCAACAAATGCATATCAGATTTTAAAAAAACATCATGTTCAGTTTCTATAAAAAGGTAACCTTTCCAAACTTGTAACATGGGGCAAGCTTTCCTATCTTCTAATAAGGACGTCTTTTATAATAAGATACGCCTGTTAACCCAAGAATGGGAACAAGGACAGACACAAACCTAAAGACAGTATCTTCTATTCTAACTAGAGCTGGTAAAAGTCACATTATGGACTACCATTCTCAGATTCCCCAGCCAGCAATAAGAACCCACTCTGAATTCCAAAGGTAAGAAGACGCCTCTGTTTATACTTTACTGGACTGGCATAACGCACCAGTGTACACTCACAAACACACAATGTACCCCAACGTTATTTGTTGCATTCTTTGGCCCAAAATAGCACCGTGCCTTAAGAATGCCAGGAGACATTATGTCTAGTTGGAGTCCAAAAGAGAGAGCCTGCTTCCAGCTACCCCTCCCAGCGTATATGAACACATAAAACGTCATTTGTGACACTTAATTGATATCAGAATGCCCCAGGCTGTAAGAGAAGTACTGAAAGCAGCCACAATGGCTGGAGGATTTTAGAAGCCTTTTCCCAAAACTTCTGTGAGTTCTACACAAATATAATAATTTTTAAAACCCACTCTTAGCCCTTGAAAAGGTATGCCTGCCATTGGGAACCCCACTAATTTATATACTCCCACTCTCTCTTCTTCATTCGCACAGTAATCATCTAAAATCATGGTGTATATTCCTTGCATTCAGTTGGTTCCAGAAATGCCCCTCTGCTGTCCCTACACTTTTAGGAAATATCTTTATAGAAACAAGCATCTCATTTCTGCATGTTTTGGGGGGAAATGAATAAAAAGAGATTACATGTAAAAGCTTCACCCAGATGAAGAACGAGATGAACCAAAGCTACCTTATCCCTGCTGGAACAATACTGCCTTCTTTGCTTCAAGCCAGAAAAACATAAAATGCATACCGGCATCATTCCACCAACTAGCGGTTGGAAAAATTGACTATTTTGCCACACATTTACTGGAGCATCATACTAGGCTAGTTTTTACAGAAAATTTTTAAGGCAAACCACAGACCAAACGCCTATGAGAACAATATGTGTTTCTTCGCTTTTGGCTCTGCTTATCTAACCACACAAAGATCTCTCCCAATCATCCACTGGTTACAAAAACACTTTCTTGGTCTTCCATCTATATTCCATTTCCTATTTCCTTTTCTTCTTGTGCTACATTTCTTAATGAACCCTTCTCACTCTAGTTTTTGAGGGAATGCTATCTTTTTCTTATGGCATCTCACACTTGGTCCACTAGCTCCATCTCGCTGGTTTCTGAATAAGACAAACCTAGTTCACTTCTAGAAAACCAAAAGTATTTGAGTATATTTGTTTGATTTGCATTTTTTTAACCTTTGGTCTTTGGTTCCACTATGAAACCAGAAAAATGTTCTTCCAGGAAGAAACAAAGTTCCACGCTTTTCCCTTGTCCAGGGAGGAAAGGGGCCAATGAAGATTAGGAGAGCAGTTGGCACTTTAGCACAAAGCATTTCATATGGCAAACAAGATGTCAGGCACTGGTTGGGAGGGAATGTTCTTTCTGGTTCAGCCAATACTATCTGCCCCAAGCTATGTGTAGACAGAGCAGGGAGAGGACAAGAGCATTTCTAGGCATTCCTCCTAAAGACTATGGCATTCCCCCCCAACCAATATTTGAGCTAAACAATCTTTTCTGGTGTATTGTTGAAGGCTTTCATGGTCAGAATCACTGGGTTGTTGTAGGTTTTTTCGGGTTATATGGCCATGTTCTAGAGGCATTCTCTCCTGACATTTCACCTGCATCTATGGCAAGCATCCTCAGAGGTAGTGAGGTCTGTTGGAACTAGGAAAATGGGTTTATATATCTGTGGAATGACCAGGGTGGGTCAAAGAACTCTTGTATGTTGGAACTAGGTGTGAATGTTTCAACTGACCACTTTGATTAGCATTTGATGGCCTCACTAAATCTGAGGATGCTTGCCATAGATGCAGGCAAAACGTCAGGAGAGAATGCCTCTAGAACATGGCCATATAGCCCCAAAAAACCTACAACCACCCAATCTTTTTTGGTCCAAATAACACACTTAAAAGAGAAAAAGAAAACCTTCAGAGAGCTGTTACATACTGTTTGTAGAAGGTATTCCTAAAACAGCCACCCATCATACTCCAAACGGCAACCAGATAATAAAACTTTCAATTGTATATTTAGAAGGGGACGAAAACATAAATTACTTGTAGCATAACTTCTGCTATGTGTTTGCGCCTGTTTTTATTTAAGGCTCTAAGGCTGCATCCAAGCACCATATGTAGATGAATCCTTCAATCAAGTCCTGCAAGCACACCTCATTTGATGCATGAAAATTACTATGTTTTCAATTTGGAGCATTGTTAAAAAATATTTTGGGGATTCAACTGTGTGCTTGCATCACCGACTGATAAATGATTCTATGATGTGACGGAGCGGATTATTTAGTGTAACTAGATTATAGTGTATTATTGTTGTATTGATTTCCTGTTTTGCCCTTTTGTAAACTGTTTTTATATGTTGTGCACCGCCGCGAGTCGCCCTAGGGCTGAGAGCGGCGGTCAATAAATGCAGTAAATAAATAAATAAATAATAAATAAATGGCTCTACAGAACCTAGAAAGGTATTTCAGGAGAACCACCACACAAATATCCCACCTGCATCTTAATTATGAGACTGTACAAAGCTGTACTTTGGCTGCCTCCACTGCAATATAAAAAGTGGTCCACCAGAATGCTGGCAGTTACATGATCTGGTCCATTTAATTTAAAGTTTAAAAATGGCTCAGTTCCAGTAGCAAGGACTGTTAAGAATTTACAAGCCTTCCCATAATAATCCTCATTTCATGCAAAGCTTTAAGAAATAACTATGCAATTAGCGCAGTCTTTTAAAAATGAAGACAAAAGTACACTTATAAGATTATCCCTTTATCTCCTTGCAACAGTCTTAGCCAAGAAAATGGAGGATCTGAGACTTCCTACACCAAACACACAGAAGAGAAGACAGAATATATAAG